AGCGGGTTAAGCCACCGCCTGAGGTGGCAGCATCCCCTGTGACCATCAGTTCGAATCCCAGCTGCTCCACTTCAGATCCAGCTCCCTGGCTAATGCTCCTGGGAAAATGAGAGCATGGCCCAAGTCCCTGGATCCCAAGTCCCTGGATCCCTGTCACCCATGTGTAACACCTGGATGAAATGCTGGGCTCCTGGTTTGTGGATTAGCGGATTTCTCTCTCTCTCTCTGTTCCTTCCTCTAATTCTTTCAAATGAGCAAACATTTAAAAAAATAAAATCAGTACCGGTTGAGTATTCCCCCGCAGAAGTGTCTCAAATTACAGATGGAGGGGGCAGCGCTGTGGCAAAACGGCATAAACCAGGCCTGAAGCACCAGCATCCCAGATGTGCGCCAGTTTGAGTCCCGGCCACTCCACTTCTGATCCACCTATCTATCTGCTCATGTGCCTGTGCCTGGGACAGCAGAAGAAGGTGCCGGTCCTGGGCCCCCACCCCCTCTGGGAGACCTGGAGGAGGCTCCTGGCTCCCACCTGGCCCAGCACTGGCCTCTGCAACTGAGGAGAGGAGCTAAGCAGCAGATGGAACATCACCTATCTCTTCCCCCTCTCTCCCGAACTCCTTCAAATAAGTGAAATAAACCTTTAAAAAGCGTCTTGCGGATGGGCCCCCCGTCTCATGTTTCACCTGAAACCAGTTTTACACGATGTTTGTAATAATTTCACGCACGAGGTAGGCTTCCACGGTGGAGAACTTCCCACGAGTGGCGTGTCCTGTTAGTGCCCAAAAGCTCAGGCCTTCGGACACTGGGATTTCTGACCCGCATTTCCCAAGCACACAATGCAGCAGGCGCAGATCCCAGCACCGGCGAAGCCCAAGCTGCGAGGGCGCCGCACAACCGGGGCGAACCACTTCTAGCTCCACACCCCGGTACCCGCCGAGCTCCTCGGCGTCGTCGGTCTTCTAGCCGGAGCCCCCTCCCCTGGCCCCGCGGCTCGTACACCCGCGTCTCAGCAAGACAAGGGCTATCCCCTAACACCGCCCAGACCCACCGCGAGACAGGAACGCCGTGTGCCGGTCGGCGCTTCTGCGATGATAAACGCACCAGAACCGTGTGGGGCGCCCAGCAGACTCCCAGCAAGGGCTCGGGGCCGCCATTAACCGTCCGGCTGCATCCGGGGTCCTCACTCCAGGGAAGCCCCAGCTTCTGCGAGGTCCTGGAAATCCATGAACCACCTCACCCCGCGCCGCGGCCCCCGGCCTCGGGCCCGGGCCGCCGCCTCCAGCCCAGAGCCCTGCCCGGCGCCGAGCACCCACGGCGGTCTCCCCGGCGGCGCTAAGCACGCGACGCGACCCCAAAGCCTCCGGATCCCCGCCTCGGGCCGCGAACGAACAGCTGAGTAACTTTCCACAGAGCCCCGTTCCCGCCTCAGTTTCCCCGGCTGGCTGACCGCCGCGCCGACAGCCGCCCAGGGCCCCGCGGAGCGGCCCCGGCACTGCCGGACGCCGCGGCGCCGCGCACTGACCTGCAAGTGACCTGCTTGGTGCTCATGGCGGCCGGGCTGGGGGGGCCGTCGTCGCGCCGCCGCCTCTCGCTGCCGCCGCCGCCGCCTCGGCCTCGGCCTGGCCCATCCCGCGCAGCCGCGTCACGCCGGCGCACGCCACCCCCTCGCGTGCGGCGCCCTTGCAGCGCCGGCCGGAAACCTCGCCGCCGTCACAATTGGTTCCGCATCCGGGGCGGGGCCCGGCGGTCCCCTCTCGCCGGCACTCGGTGTCCGCGTCCAGGCCCCCGGAGCGGGAGCGGGCTGGCCGCCCAGGCTGACTGGGGTCACTGTGGCGCCACAGTGCCTCCCTCTCCCCGGAACCTCGGCTCCCGCAGGCGGCGTTTGCCCCCCGCACTCCTCTGCGGGCCTGTGCCTGCTGAGCGGAGACCCCCGAGTTAGCCCCGACGCTGGCCTCTACCCCGCGTTTCACAGGCAGAGCTTGTCAGCTTGGACCCCTACTGCTAAGCAAAATGGGGTGCTAAAACGCACATCGTTTGAAGCGGGGCCCGCGGCAAAATAAGGCGAGTAAATCCCTGGTTTCAAAGAAGAAGACCCCCCCCTGCCCCAGAACACTGCCAACGTTAATGTCCGGGTTCACTAGTGGAAGTCCGAAAAATAATTTCGAAAGAGAAAAGAAAATTTCTACCATTTTGACCCCCCCCCCAACGCT